CGGGTAACACTAGCAGTAATGCTGAAGTAAACAAGGGACCAAAGGGACTGACCACTTCCCACGCCAGGTAAACAAACTCAGTAGCCTGGGAGAATAGAGGCAATGGCACAGTCAGACCAAAAGTCCATTTTACTCATTAATCTCTGTCTTGACACAGACTTAGGCGGCATGTAAATAGAGAAATCTTTCCCATGGATAATTCCCTTGGCTTCTAGAAATCATGGATTTCCCAGGGTAGAGGAGCAGCATCCACTAAACTGCCCAGTCCCTTCAAGACCTCCACACCAGTTCTATGTCAATGAACCCCACAGTACCATGCTGTGCTACATAAAGTAGTGCTTCCTTTCTTGTATTTTATACTTGATTAATTTCACTGAGCATCCTGATTAATGTTATTTTAAGGGTGAACACAAATATTCCTTATTCACCTTCTGCACACCATTCACGATGTCACAGATTTCCAGCATCTTCTTAGTTACTTCACTTTTTTCAGGTTGACTAATCCTAGCATACTTTAGGCTCTTTCCTATTTCTCTCATCACACAGGCTGTTCTTCTTGTTAGCTTTTCTTCTCCTGCTATATCCTTTTCAAATGGAGGAAGGAAAACCAAATGCAGATTTTAAGATGCGAAAAACCCATTAATTTGTTCAATGACATAATGATAGTTTCCTTAAAATGGTAAGATATTAGTCATATTTTTCCACATCGCTGAGTACATCACCGCTGTTTTAGGACATTCCAGTCCTACATCTCTAAGACAGATTTGTTAGAATAAACAAAACTATATTACTACAGTCTAGTCAAGCACCAGGACCAAGGAGTAAAAACCTGAAGCTAGCTTACAAGAATCTGAAAGGCAATAAATTCAGAGGAGAACAGTTATCACTTGGAGTAATCTAATCAGAGTACTGATAAGAAATTAAGCAAACAAGGCTTCCTGGGGTAGTTCCCTTATCACTGAATGAGGCCTGATAGCAATTATCTTGAGAGAGAGAGAGAGAGAGAGAGAGTGTGTGTACAATAAGTATCACTTAAGTCTTACTAGAGAGAGAGACAGAGTGCTCAAGAATATGCAAGTCCTGCTTGGACTGGTAGAGGACAGAGGAGAAAGACAAATCCGTTTATTTGGACATTTTTTTTCCCCATTTCTACTTTCTAGACTAACATTTTAATAACTTTCAGCAATGCTGTTATGTGCAGAGTTGTGTCTCTACAAGCACCTTTCTGGTTCTTCTCATGGGTCTCAAAGTGAGCTGAACAGTGTTCACATTAAAATTACTATTTTTAAATAAAGAGTCTTTTTTTCTGCTCCTGTAAAGTCTGGATGAACCCCAACACCACAGGGGCCATATCCCTGTTTTGGGACACCCTCCACACACTCTGACACCCCAGCACTTCCCAGAGGCTGCAGCATCCTTCTAGGTAGAGACATTATCCCAGCCCCATTCCCTCCCATAGCCAGCTGCAGTGGCAGCAGCTGCGGTGCACATCCATAAATAGATTTTTAGGCGTCTGATTAGACCTACCGTCCTGAGGAAAACACAGCGAGTTAGACAGAAACATTCCCTGCTCA